GCACATGATGCAACCGGTAGCTGGGTATTTACGTTTCCTCTTGCCCATCAACATTTCCCAAGAAACAGAATTCGAGTGCTCGCTCCATATTCCCGCCTGCCACCAGTCCTGTCCGAAGCCGTTATTAACCTCCCCTCGAGCCAAATGAAAAGGGAGATGATGGTATAATGTCGTATGCAGAGCCTACTGCTCCAATCTTCTACCGGATGACGCCCCAGTCAGAGAGTCGCCCTCCGTCGCTATCCTCTCTAGCTCCAGGTCGTCGTCCAAATGCGTTCCAGAATCGTAGTGTCTCATCTCCTGCACCGGTCACAACGGTTCTGCCGTCCGGGCTCATAGCCAGGTAAAGCACACGATACGTGTGTCCAGTGAGACTGACCACCTGCGTCATGGAAGGGTATTTCCAGACGACAATCTGGTTTTGACTATAACCGTGTGTCGAGACAATCTCATTGGAGTTTTTGGACCAGGCAATATTGCAGACCTGGCTGCCAGTGTCGATCTCGTTGATGACAGATCCGCGGACTGTATCGTGGAAAATGATGCGTCGATCAGCCGTACCACCACCTGAAGCCAACAGTCCCCGTTGATGGGGTGACCAGGCAATGGCCTTGACAGCCGCCGTGTGGTCCGAAAACTTCCACAACGGTGTCTCGGAAAGCTTGTCCCACACCATGAGCTTGTTGTCGTTGCCACCGCTGGCAAGCTGGCCATCTTCGCAGTTCCACTTAAGACCGCAAACCTCCTGCTTATGGCCGACGAGCTTTCGAAGCCACTGGTCGGGGGCCCGGACGTCGCGGTGGTAGATCAGACGATCACGAGAACCAGATGTTAGGATGTGAGTGTTCCAAGCCAGGGAGCCCACTCGTGCCGTATGGCCTGTCATCGTTCGCAGTCGCCTTGTCTTTTCAGCGTCCCAGATTTGGACGAGGCCCTTGCCGGTCCCGATAGCAATGTGAGTTCCTTTCTGAATCCATGACACGCTCGTTACCGTATCGTCCTCGAGCGTACACAGCTTGTTGACGCGACTTGTCTGAGCATTCCACATGTAAACACTGGACCCGAGCCCAACTCCTAGCACATTGGCACTGCCCCAATCTACCAAGTTGAGATAGAAATCATCTGCCAAATCAGGCGCGTCGAGAACTTTGTAAGGCACTTTGCTGACCGCCCTCGGTTGCCTCCGCGGGCTAAGCAGCATCTGTTGACTGTTGAAGCGAACTGGCGAAAGGCTGTAGATCTCGGAACGAGTGTCGAGATTGGGACCATGCCGGCTTTGCGGTGTCCTTGACGGCGTTAGATGGCCCGCATTGCTTAGGTTCCGCGGCGACATGTAGGAGAACAGATTCTTGTGGGGAGTGGATGGCGTGAGAGAGGATGGAAGAGAGTTGGTGGAGGCGTTGTTTGGCGGCGTCCGAGACCTCGTTGAATCTCGAATATTGGCTGAGTGCGATGCAGTGGATAAAGTATGCTCAGGAGACATAGTTGGCGGTGTTGCCTGTGGTATTGAGCCTTCGAAGAGCTCTGCGCGGAGCAGCGTCGAAAATGTCCGGTTTGCTTCCTCAGCTAAGAACGGTCAGATTTGTCTTCTGCGTGTGAAGAGGCGTAAATGGCTTACTCTTTTGAAAGTGTAGTTCTCCATGAGGAGTACGCTTCTTTTGTTTGGACGGTGTCGCTGGAGAGCCGTCTTCGTGTAGCAAGTTGAAGCTGGCTTGGAGGTCCTGGCCAGTTCGTGTCGGAATAAATCTGGCAGAAGAGACTTAGTAAATAGTCCTTGGCAATAGTCACGGCGATGTGCATCTACCTGTCGCCATTGATTCTCTGGCGCTTCCGGTGTGGGCTAGCACCAGGTGTGCTTTCCCTCTGTGACCGGTGGTGCATCTCACGTAGCAAAGCACTGTCGACGGCGTCGGGGTCGAAAGCACTGGACCGAGCTGATTCACTAGGTCTTCTGCTGTGTTGAGTCTTGCGCTGGTTTGTATTTTCCAAATATTGACGGTTCTCGAGGAGACCTCTGTCGGAAGGAGGGGGGGGTGTTGCGAAGCGAGTGGGTGTCGCGGTTGCGGAATTGCTTGCATCAGCTACTGGTCTTTTGATGGAACCAGAAGCGCCGAGAGCAGCTGAAGAATCGGTCGGAAGAGGCATCTTGACTTTCTTGCGACATACAACGGAGACAGTCCGTGAGGGTTGCGCGAAGAGGCTGAAGTCTAGCGAAGGCGGCTGGGACGAGCGTCGTCGGGGGATGTGGCGGGGAATGATAGAGCACACCGGGCAAGCACCGACACCAGTGCGGGCCTCAGAGAGCGGTGGTGTTGTCGTCGCAGTCGCGACGAAAGCTATTGAAATGATGCGCTCGCAGTATTCGGAGAATGATGTCGTTGCTCGAATTGTCGGCGAGTCGTTTTGATCGGTCGGCGCGGCATACGAATCACCACCTTATCCCTGACGGCGGTGTTCAAATCGTTGTCGTTCGCATGCTTTTCCCTCAGGCGGTCGCAAGATCTTGGGCGCCGGCGGCAAGATGCTGGGATTAATGGCGCAAAACGGGTCGAAAAAATAATTAGTCGAGAGAGAAGAACGAGAAGACAGCAAGATGGGCGTCGACGGGTGATGAAAGGCTGTCGAACGTTGGATTGAGTGCAGATTCGAGATGTCTGAGGCCACGGGGTGCAGGCTGGAGTCGCAAGAAGCGGCAAGAGCCAGCGGCGGGAGGAAGGTACGGTGATGAGTGGTTGGGCGGGTAGGAAGGTGCAAGGCAATGGAGGTACCAGGTGAGGTAGGTAGGTGCGGCAAGGTCAGTATGTACTCCGTACCTCAAGGCGACTAGCACCGCGGTGGTGAAGTGCAGCGGTTCTAATCGTGACGGGAAGGGGTTCAGCGGCCAGTAAGGTGCAACCCGTCCAATACTGGTTATGGTCTATCACCCAACCTCACTCAGGCAAGCATGCCAGGGCAGAACGGGTTGTTGTCGGGGCGGGGGGAGGGGACTCTCACTCAGAGGATGAAAACCACGAAACTCAAGGGCGTCGAGGAGGTTGAACTGGGGGAGTCGCGGCAAAGGGAGAGACGCTTATCTTGTTAGGGCTTTAGCGTCGACGGCAGAGCAACAAGAACAACAGCGGTGGTCCCTTCGGCCGCTGTCTGGGTAAGGTACGCGGGCACGCAGCATGCAGCACGCACTTCCATCTAGGCACCTTACGTGCTTACCTGAGTTGGGTCCTGTTTGGTGGTTTCCAGAGGTACCTTGGAGGTGCACTTTGGCCCTTGGACGCGACTGGCGAGGGAAGAGAAAGGGCGTCTGGCGTGACTGGCGTCAGTAGGTCCCGCACGGCAGGGTGGGGAGGGAGGGGGACAATAACATTGACCGACATCCCAAGGGGGAATCGGGACGGGGAGACAAGACTGGGGGTGGGATGGCGAACAACAACAACAACAAACAGCCCGTCCCCGTCGCTTGCCGTTCAAGGGTCAGCGCGATCCAATGTTAGAACTTAGCACAGAGTTGATGTTTCTTTCCTCACCTCTTCTTACAACGCCCGAGCAAGCAACATGAGGCAGAACAAACAATCAAAAGTAGCATACAGAGTACCTAGGCTTTAGTTATTGACTTTTGCTTCCAGTATTCGTCCAGGAAACCATATCAATAGTTGCTCAACCCTGGCTTGCTTGCTCATTATAGTTCTATTACGTGCAGATCCCACAACAACACTTCGCCATCACAATATTATGTTATTTCGACTCGTGCGCCTTTCTGGCCTCTCACTTATATAAGGCACCTCACTATAAGTTAAGGAATACCTTAGGTAGGGACTTGCTGAAAGAAAGCTACAGTAAGATTGACCATAGTGTCAAGATTGTCAATTACCTTATGAGAGATGGAAGCAATTGCTTCTTGGAATTGTGCACGCAATCTACGCTTGCGAGTTCCCTAGGATGAAGATCATCATTCCACGTGCTTCTTCGAGATGCAGACCACGCTGAGCTATCGAGACTTAGGTAGACTTCAATAAGAGTGTTTATTGAGATTGGGAAACGCCCTCACACCCACCCACACTCAGAGACAGAAGAAGCTATGCAAGGCACAGATGGGACGGTACGGGACGAGACAAGACCAAAATGGGATGGCAGCCGCGATGAAACGCCCCTTGTTGTCCATGTGGAAGTAAGTTGGCGTCAGGTTTGGGTTGTTTGTGTGTATGGACAAAACCATGTCTTCACGCTTTCCCCTCTTCCATCGCGCTTCCATACTACACGGGAAGAGCATTGTCGCGTCGCCAGTCTTGTCCAAAAATAAAGGCCGCGTTGCATTCCAGCTAGGACGATTCCCGCCTCCCTTGCGCAAAGAGGGGGCTGGGAGAATTGTTTTTGTTTGTGTGTTTTTTTTCCTTTCTGGTCAACCTAGGTTTCAATGGTCCAAATTCGGGCCATTGAGCACCTGCCGCACCTAGCCTTCTAGCACCTTCGGGAACTCGCAGCCAGTTGACACGTGCTGGGCGCTTTGTTTTGGCCCCTTGGGTGGAGACCTCCAGCGGTACACCAGGACAAAGCTAAGAAGGCCAGCCTCCGCGGTATCACAGAAGCCAACCGATGGAATTTCGTAAACAATAGTACTGACCGTTAACTATCCATTCACCAAAAGACAACAACAGTATTATCATCGACCGTGTTTTACTGATAGGATGAGAGACTGAGCGTAGATGAGATCCAGGAGACTCACCCTCGATGCTGATTGATTTTTAGTTGCGGACATGACGCTCAAATGCTCAAGCTAAGGGCCCTTACCTTACGTCATTCAATGCTCATACAGGACGATGATAAACAATAGCGGGTAGCAGTAGCCACGCGATGCAACGCGTTTCTTCGCGTAAAGCACTCTCGCGCTCCCAAAAAGGGGTCGCACAACGTGTTACTGGACAGTTTGGATATGATGATGCGCACTGCCACGTTTCACTGTATAGTGCCAGTCTATATTAGATAAGCAGGCATGTGCTGCTAAGGACTCATCTCCAATGCTTATGTAAGGTCTCAGCTGCACTGAGCTTTCGTCCGGATAGACTGGCAGCGACGCTCTCCAAATCCCACCCAAATGCAAGAACCTTGAGATGATCTACGGATACGGATGCCTAGCAATTCATGTCATCTACGGATAATCCCTTCCAGCCATGCAGCCTTCCTTCATGCACAACACTCAATAACCCAGCACCAAAATTTTCGCTACTTGACGATCCATACGCCGTAGCACACACGGCGCACCTTCGCCCCCCACGCCCCTGCAGAAGAGCTGATCAGGAGATGGCCTGGCATTAGGTATCCTCAGACTGATACACAGGATACATAGCCTTTTCGGGACAGAAAGAAGCTCTTCGAGTGCCTCCCGCCAATCTTCCCAATTTGACATGCGGCTTTTGACTCGTTGGCCACATGCAATGATCCAAGTCCAACAAGCAGATCCCTCTCAATCCCCAGTTTCCATGCGGGTACCTGGCATATTTGCTCGACCGAACTCTCGGAACCCCATCAGCCGTTCACAGCTCGTATGAAGCTAATTTGCTATTTGTAAGGCAGGTCCCCGGTGGAAATCAGCTCTCCCCGCTTACACGAGCTGTCAGGGTCAAACGCGAGACGGCAAGTACAGAGTACAGACTACTGATACAGATAGAGTTTGCTCGAGGCTCTTGGATCAACGGCTTTCGCCTTGTCTACAAAGCCATTCCCGGTACAATTACAGAAGGGGTCCAAAGAACGTGGGAAACTAAACAACCTCCGGTTCCCGTCTTTTTCGCATCCTTGTCCGAGAAACCAACAGCGCTTTGGCCATTACACCTGGTAGCCCTTGAGCCCCTTCGTCAGGAGGCAATGCTATGTATTGCTGGCTGTATCCGTCAACAACCAGAGAGGACGTGTGATCTTCGCCCATTATACGCTAGAACAGATTCAGCTCGCATTTTGGGAGTGGACTTGCCTTGACAGACAGCGTCATCCCTGATTGCCATGATGACCAGGTACACCCGCCACTCAACACTAATCCGCACCGCAATACTTCGTACCGTCCACATACCGGTACTCCGCCTTCCAAGGTTCGCAAGGCCACGAGCCGGCAATGCTTCGTTCCGGACGCATTTTGGTGGGACGTCGACGGTGGCATACTGGCACTACTGAGAAAACGCTTCCCGTCACAGTTTTGATCTCCTCCAGACTCCATCACTCATGCAGCCCAGTCTCCGAAGCTCCGGTAGCTGATTTGCTCTTCCCTCATGCCGTCGGCAACGTGAGCTTTGTTCCGCTCTGCCGCGTGGGTGTCTTACTTCGGGACCTTGGCGATCCATCTCGCCGCGTGCTCTTTCTATGTAATACAATTGAACCATCCGCAGATCATCGACGAGATATGACCTGTTATGTTGGAAACCAGTTGCTCGATGCGAGAAGTGATAGCCCTACGAATACCGAGGAGTCAACCCTCATGATACCGAAACCCCACGTGCGCCAGTAGCTCAGTGGCGGGACCTCAAACAGCATTGATTGACAAAGACGCGGGCAAACTCCCGGTATAACATCAGGGAGACAATCCATCTGTTCGCGATTAACGAGAGATCGCGATACCGGCAACACAGATTCACGACTCAGGTAACGCATTCCGGTTGTTCTCGACCGTTTGTAATTACTTTGTGGTAGCGAATTAATCGTATGGGAGATTCGAAATCATCTCCAGTCCATCTTCGAAAATGATATAGTCCGACCGCCGATTCAGGCTTCAGATCGCAGCTCCGAGGATCGAGGGGATCGAAGAAAGCACGGGCATCGAAGAAATGCAGCCTGGCTCCTTTCCCACGGTAAGCTCTACCATGCTCCAAGGTATCGGTCCCAAACATTGGAGCGAGCGATATGACGCGAAAGTTGATTAGGAGATAGTCCCATATACTAGCTCGACTGTCAAATGGCACTCACCAGGCCGTGAGCGCCGCCCTTTTGCCCGATTAGGATACTGGTCGAGGTCCGGGTCCTGGGCCGCAGTGGGGCCGGGGCCGAATTGGTCCAAGTCTCGAAGCGTGGGATTCATGGGGGTCCTGGACTCCTGGAGGTCCCTCGACACATCCTTGCTGGGGCCCGCCTCGAGACTGGAGAAAGCCAAGAGAGTCCGAGTCTGCAACTTCTTCGCTCCCACGGTTCGCTGAAGAAATCTCGATTCTCAACCCCCAGCACCCCCGTCTTTGCCAATTGAGGTAGCACAGACAGTGTTGCTTTCTTCCATCTTCACGCCCAATCCTACACTATCTAGCTACGTACTGTGGAAATGTGGTCAACAAGACTGCCATGGTCAACCTGCAGGACACACGACGCCCTGAATTCTACAGAAGACCCCAGGCAACTCTCTTGCCGAAGTTTCGTCTTGCCCTTTCCTCGACCATTGCTGTTGCGGTGAACATGGTGAAATCCCACCACTGGAAGGCCACCTCTTGCAGCAAGAGGTACAAGTACCTTAGCATCTTTCACGGCCACTGCCTGAGTCAAGATGCCAGCAGAAGAGGCAAGCGTAGCAGGGGAGTAAACGGACACGGAAACAGAGAATGGTGTGTACTGGTACATTGTCGAAAGGAGATAACCATATTGCATATGCACTCTGGTCACTCTACTACCTCCCGAAACTAACCTAATGCTAGGAAGCTGGTTGTGCTTCCCCGTCAAAGCCCGTCTATGATCTATCTCCTGGCTTGACATCGCCGTCTATCAATCTCTTACTCAGCATGGCTAATGGCAGGCCTGACGTCTTCATTGGTAACACTGCAGAGCGCGCGAATCATTTTGCAAGTGCCGATTTGGGTCGGAACATTCATGTCGCCCCCCTTTAGCCTTCTCTTGACATATCAGGATGGCCCTGGCATCACCGAACCGTTGACAAGAAAACTATGGATGACGACGGCTTGGTTCACCCGAACCAAAAAGCCCCCAAAGACCGTGCAGTGTCCGTGGCTCAGATGAGCAATGGGACTAACCCCAACCCGTCGGCGAATGTCTAGGTTCTGCCAGAAAACCAAACAAAGACTGCCCGGCGTCCAGGTTCTGGCCTCTTCAGCCTTCAGAAATCTCTTTTGCAAGGTCAGGAGCTATACTCAGCTCTGCTAGTGGGCGATCATTCTCCGCTCGGCTGTCGAATGGCATTCCCCCATAACCACACATCGTGGGAACCTCTTTCTCACGCAGACTACTGCAACGCAACGCTGTGGGTTTTCAACCATTCTTGTTTGATTGCCGCCAATGTTGGCGCCTTGCTGGGGACCCAGCCTTGAAAGAGAGCAGGGGACGGGTTCACGGGTACCTGACGAAGAGTACGTTGGTTCTATCACATATGTGGGCAAATGTGCCTGACATGCCCGCTTGCGCTTCTTCCGCCTCGCCCGTCAATAGTTTAGTATCGGCGTCCGTCGATCTATGGTCTCGCACACCCTCCTAGCTTGCTATCTGCTTCGTCTCTGCCGAGCCCCTCTCCTTTGATCACCTCCCCGCTGTTCTATACGGCGCCGTCCTGCTCGCTGGCTGGATGACGTTGCGGGATTGCCCATGGCTGGAGCGCCCCACGGCTATCTTCCTTTGACATTTGATGCTCATCCTCTTTTCCCACGATCAGCCTTCGTCCAAAGCCCAATATAAACCCTTCTCCGTTTCCCCCAACGCCCGTGGCAATGCCCCAATCAACAGATACATCTCCGGCTCGTGATCATTCTGGACCACGTTCTGTATTAGCACTATTCCGGCGAAAGAAGCACATGGCTCAGGTCGCTGCCGCCCACAACACAAATCACCGCCGACACAGGCACGGTGAACTCACGCAACCTCAAATGAACGGCTACAGCTCTCTCAGTGTCACGTCTCTGCACAGTCAGAAGCAGCAACAAGTAGACTTTGACGAAGGCGGCGCCGATATTCCCGACATTCCACTGAAGCGTCCAGTCACCAAGATGCATCAGGACCGCCCCTTGAACCCGTCAAGGTTCCAAGAGGCTTGGGAGGACGATGAGGATAGGAACTGGACCGCACATCATGGACACGGGCCCATCAATCCCAATACCATAGCTCCTCGGCCAGATAGAAGGTAAGAGGAGAGATGTATCTCTCGTATATGTCGAGGGCAATGCCGGCTAACACCTCACCAAAGTGCTGTTCGTTCTCCTGATATTCCCCCAAGAGAAAGAGGCAGAGTCAAGTCTCCCGAGCCTCTCCACGTTCAGCAGCGACAGATGTCCTCCAGCCCACCAAGAAGCCCGAGAACGCGGTCCTCAAGGTCCAGGGCCAACTCCACATCGTCCTCATATCAAACGAACAACACATCACTCCCAGCTCTCCAGACCAAAGGCGCCGGTGATGACGAGATTCTCGAGCCCTTGGCAGAAGAGGAAGTTGAGCCCGGCTCCTTCGATCTTGTAGTCCCATCTCATGGCGACAACGGACAGTATTCGCTGGAAACTCGCTCCGAGCTCCTCTTCTCGAAAGACCATCTGCAGGCCATTTTTGATGATCACTTACTGCTCCAACGGTTTACCGATTTCCTTCACCATGCCCGACCCGACTCGCTCCCCCTATTGACTTACTTCTTGGACTGCTTGAAAGCACTCCGGGCCATTGCATATGCGAACGCGATCGCAGGCGGCCTCGACACTCTGCCCGGGCACGAGTTCACAATGGCCAACACCGACAGTACGATCAACAGCTCCTTGAGAAAGAAGGCCGAAGCTGCTTTCGACGTGCTCGTTCAGCAAGATCTTCCCGCCTACATCACCCATACCTGGATTCAGACCGTCAGCGTGTCTATCAAGAGGCGTATCACAGGTACCCTTCCGGTTCAGCTCAGGGAAATGTCCGAGGGTTTGGCAGAAGTGTTTTGCTTGACGGATCCTTCGAGAAACGACAACCCCATCGTCTTTGCTTCCGAGGGTATGCATACACTTCCTTCTCATATTACCCGTCTTACTTAGCAGCTGACCATTGCCTACAGAATTCCACCGCACGACTCAATACGGCATGAACTATGTCATTGGCCGCAACTGCCGTTTCCTTCAAGGTCCAAAGACCAACCCCTTCAGTGTACAACGTATCCGTGACAAGATCCTGGCTGGAAAAGAGCACTACGAAACCTTCCTCAACTACCGCAGAGATGGCTCCCCATTCATGAACCTCCTCATGGTGGCGCCGCTTTACGATAGTCGCGGCACAGTCCGCTATTTCATCGGCGCTCAAGTCGACGTCTCCGGTCTCGCCAAAGAAAGCTCGGGTCTGGATGCCCTGCAGAACCTAGTCGTCGAGAAGGAGGCCGTCGGCACCATCAACGGCCAAAACCAGCAGCAGCAGCGACACGACAACGAGGAAGAAAAGGACGAGTTCGAGGAGCTAAGCGAAATGTTCAACATGAACGAACTCGAAACCGTACGCAGACGCGGCGGAAACATGCACCGCGTCCCACAAGACGAAGGCCAGGCTGCATCCTCGATAAACTGGCAAAAGCCACGCATCCTAATTCAGGACGAGTCCTCCTCCGTCCACCAGTCCAACCCAGCCGTGCCTTTGACGAGCGGCAAGCTCTCCGGCGTCTACGAGCACTACCTACTCGTCCGGCCCTACCCCAGCCTCCGCATCCTCTTCGCCTCCCCCTCCCTCCGCCTCCCGGGCATCCTCCAGTCCAACTTCATGGACAGGATAGGCGGCTCCAACCGCGTCCGCGACGGCCTCTCCCAAGCCTTCGCCGACGGCCACGGCGTCACCGCCAAAGTCCGCTGGCTGACCAAGTCTAACAGCGAAGGCCGCGTCCGCTGGATCCACTGCACGCCCCTGCTGGGCAGCAACTGCGCCGTAGGCGTCTGGATGGTCGTCCTCGTCGACGACGAGTCCGAGGCCGGCATGAAGCGGGGCAACCAGGCGCCGCCCGTAGACGGCCGGCTCCGAAGGGCCCCCGGCATCGCGCAGCAGTTCCAGCAGCAGCAGCAAGCTGGGTCGCAACACCGCCCCTCTGTTGACGACAAAATGTCCCTCTCGAGCTTCGCCGCCATGAACCGCGCCCGCGACGAGGTCCAGGTCGATGCCCCCGCCGACTTTGACGTCGACGTTCCCTCCGAGCGCCCTGGCAGCCGCGCCAGCCGCGCGAGCAAGTCGAGTCGACTCAGTCGGGGTCCCGTCAGTGCGCAGCGTCGGCCTCTGATCCCGGGCGGTTTCGATGACACCGACGGAGGGCCATCCCGGCCTGCGTATACCGTAAGGCTGGAGGAGGATTAGTCAGACATGAGTCTGGTGCACATTCTCTCTGTCTCTGTGTTTCCTTGCAAAATTCCTTGCTTTCCCCAAGATGGGCGGTGTTCCGGAGGCGCCGTTGGTGCTGATCTATTTGATACCATTACAATTCTGTGCATTATTTTTTAGCCTTTGTTATATCGGAATCTTTCTCTACAGCGCTGATATAAGTCTCCTATATACCTGATGGAATCGGAGGAAAATAATAACAAACTAATCTCACATCACACAGGGGCTGCCGCCGACCTGCATACATGACTCACATTGTGTGTGCGAAAGCTGTAGAGCAAAACTTATCGTTATTGCCAATTTACAGCTGGCCACATGAAAATAAGAATTACTCATATTCGCCGTGTTAACATTCCCAAGCTGGACATTGCGCCGCCCGTGATGAACTGCTTGCCCGCCCTGGCCCTGCGGAGTCATACGATGCGACTCAGCTTCCGGTAGGAGTCTCCGAAGTTATGGCAGTATCGCGTAACTCGACTTCCAACCGGTTTGACTTTGAATCTTTTGCATCCTGTCATCTGGTCCTTGACTTTGCGCCGCAAAAGAATTGAGCCGAAAAAGAGTAGAGTTTGTGTAGCTTCAAAATCAGAACTCTACTGCCAGCTTTAATATTTCTTCCCTTCGGAGAGGTAACGAGACCTGCTTAGGCATGGCTCTTCATGTTTCATCGACTCGTAAAATTCATGTAGTCTAACAAGTTTGCGAGCGCTGGGAATTCCGCCGAAGATCCCGGATCTACCCAAAAGCACGCCCTTGATCTCTATCGCCCGCCAGACCCAGACCTCAATATCCAGTATTAGCCAGCCTCCGGGAACGTGAGTAATCCGCCTCTCGAACCCGCCTTGGCAAACCCCCTAGTCGCTCCTATCAGATCTTTCATCCCGTAAAGTACGTATAAAACGTGTCTAGGCCTGTGCAGCGCCGGCTTGCTCCAGTAGGCGGGCCCGCCAGCTGTTGCATACTTCCTCAAACCCTCCGACAACATCTCCGCATACGCCCGCGCACTCGCGGTTGGCCAACCTCTCGCTCCAGTTACCTCGGTTGATCCACCTCTCACCCTCTTCCCGGAGCTCTTCTTCCCTCTTGATCTCGGCTACCAGCTCTTTGGCGCTCTTCAACCGACGCGTGGCCGTTGTGGTTGTTTGCCTGGACATGTGGAGTGTGTCTGAGAGGTAGTTGAGGCTCTGGACGAGGTCCGACGTGAGGGTGTGGAGGGCTGTGAGGGAGTCGTAGGCTTTCGTTGTCGGTCGCGGCATCGACTCGGACAGCTCGATTAAAAGGGGAAGCAGCTCATCGATGGTCTCCGAGTCCGGCGGTGGAACGAGTGGAGAGAGGAGCGGGAAGGTCAAGTTGTGTAGTTGGCGAGTCTGGTGAGTCAAGTGGGTAGTGAGGGCGGAATGAGCGGTGATGAGTCTACTTTGGTTAGCCAATGACCACAGATGCGGGTGAACCGTCTCGAACTTGCCTTGTCGCACTGCCCTCAACGCCGGCTTGCGAGCCCAAGTCCCTCAAGCCTTCTGTTACCCGGCTGAAAACACCATCCGTAGGTCCTCCATTACTCTCAGTACCCCTCCTCGCCAAAGACTCGACAGCATCCATCTTAGCAACGAGGCTGGGCAGCATACCGGGAGAGTCAAGATCAGACTCGGATCCATATTCGCTCCCGTCGTATTCACTCCCGCTCCGTCGATGGCCACGTTGAGCGGCTGGTGGTGGCCCAAGGTTGAAGTTCTTCCCCTTGCCGCCGGCTTCGCCGAGACTCGTAACATCGACCCCGCTGTCCCGTATTCCTTCAAAGGTGGCTTCTTCAACGTTGATATTTGGCGTCCCGCTTCCGTTGTTTTCGGCGTTGTTTGTCTCTTCTTCGTAGTATTCTCCTTCGTCTCCAGAGTCGGAGAAGGCGTCGGCCAGTTCATCGGCAAGATTGCCTAGGCCGTTGCCTCCGTCCATGCCTCCGCTCGCATATGAGATATCCAGGGCGTCTTGGTTGTTGAAGCTGCTGCGCAAGGGCGTTGCGGGATCGGCGGAGGACCTGGATGTTCGTCTATTTTGAGGGGAGGAGTTGACACTGTTGTACTGGTACGAGCCGTCAACGCCCGAATGGTTGCGCGAGTGTCCCGGAGTTTGTGGCATCTTGACGGTGTGACGAGGGAATGAATGTTGCGATCGGTCGGTCGGCGAGAGCAACGGCGGACGTGTTCGGTCAAGCCGTCCAAGCAGCGCTTTATGATGAGAAAATGCCGGGTCGATGACGCTCCGTAACGTATGTGTGCTGGCAGTCCAAACAGTCAAGTATGAACGCAATGTTGTTGCTTGTCTGTCCCGGGGTTGCTGGTGCAGTGATAAACAACAGGGGTTGTCGCATCAAATACACGGCAAGGAAGATCCAGGTGGAGATGGGTGCGGGAAGCGTGTAAAGATGGTCCAGCACCGGGAAAACAGCAGTCGTGCAAAAATTGGGCTTTCTTGACAGCAGTCTAGGCGGAGCAGAAATCAGTATTGGCGGCCCATCCCATGCATGGAAGTCAGGGAATGTTGTGTATTGGTCTGGTGGCCGTGGGCGAGGTTGAGATTATCACTGGTTTTATTAATTTCAGAGGCGGGCTGATATCGGTTCGGCGCCAGCGATCCAATTAATGCAATCCGGCGGGCTCTGCTTTGTTGTTTGATTTATCGGAAGAGAGATGGATGGAGACTATGTTGTAATGGGAGAGAGAGCCCTTGCGCCTGTGCGTCACTCACTGGACCTTTGGGTTTTGGCGGTGGACATGGGCTCAAAGAAATCTCCGGGAGAAAATATTGTCGAAGAAATGAAGATCATACTCGTCTTCCTGTGGCGCTTCGAGGCTCCTAAGGCAATACTGCCGACGGACCCCTGGTACTGTGTCTCAGAAACTCTGACCGCTGACACTGAATCTGAATCTATCTGGAAGGGGGAGGGTGTCACTCCTGCTAATACTGCCAGTGGCAGACGTGTGGTGGTCCCTGCATCTGGCTGATGTATCTTTCACGTGCTGCAACTGGGAAAAGATACTTGACAGAGATGCACGCGCTGGAGCCTCAGGTCGGCACAAGAAAATAAAAAAAAAAACACGCTCCCGTCTTTCGTGCTTCTCCTCCATTAGCCAGAGGTGGAATGTGGTGGAGTCTGGGCCGTTATCGTCCCTTATCTGGTGCCACCGAACACAACCTAGAAGCCGCAAGACAGCTCCGAAAAGCTCCTTCTTAGTACTACAGCAGCTATTGATGAGGCAGTAACACCGATTCCGACTCGACCTCCTGTCCTGAAGCTTTATTTGAGTACTTATTCTCCCGAACCGTCTTACACTCCTTACTGTTTGCTACAGCTCCTTTACAATTGCCATCTCCCGACGTCGTCGACCCCTCCCTTGCCGCCTGGAACCCCCCCTCCGTACCTCAATTGATCGCCGGCCGCGCCATTCACTCCGGCAGCCATGGCAACCTTTCGCCGCTTCCGTCCTGACGATGTCAACAAGTTCTCTAAATGCAACCTTGACCCTTTAACCGAGACGTATGAGCTGGCATTTTACCTCCAGTACCATGCCAAATGGCCAGCCATGTTCCAGGTCTGCGAGGACATGAACGGCAATATCATCGGTTACAGTATGTTTGTGATCACAGCTACGCTTTGCTCGACTTGTCTGACTTGATACTTTAGTCATGGGCAAGCTGGAGTCATCGCCCGACGTCTACAAATACTCTGAACACTACCTTCCCTGGCATGCCCACATCACCGCTCTGACCGTTGCGCCAGAGGCGCGAAGACTGGGTATCGGCAAGATTCTCTCCGAACAGCTGGAAGCCGCAGCCGACGCCAACGAAGCCTGGTTCGTTGACCTGTTTGTTCGCACAAGCAATCACAAGGCAATCACATTCTACAAGAGCATGGGTTATAGCGTCTTCCGCGTGGTCAAAGATTACTATGGCGACCATGCTACAGACCCTACCCGCGACGGCGAGGACGCTTATGACATGAGGAAGCCAATGAAGAGGGACGTCAAGCTCGAGCATATTAGGGACGACGGGGAGAAGCACGAGGTTGACCCATCTGATGTCTGGTGAAAAGCACAAAGCATCAATTCTAGCAAAACCTCCGACTATTATTGTCTCGCAAGCCTCACCGAGCCGTCAGTAGATCACAACCAGGCTCCATCGACTTGATAGACGCTCCCGCTCACGAAGGAGCTCTCTGGGCCGAGCAGGAAAGCGATGACATTCCCGCACTCATCAGCAGTGCCCTGACGTTGAAAAGACGTTGGCTCGTCAAAGGCGGCGTCGGCGGCGCGATCATGAAATTTCCAAGCCTTCTCCATCAATGGTGTGTAGATGGCGCCGGGAGCAACAGCGTTGACTCGAATCTCGCGGGCGCCGTTCTCGTTGGCTGCCGCTCGAGTGAGCCCTATCACACCGTGCTTACTAGCATCATATGCGCCGTGCTTGGCAAAACCTATCAAGAGCTAGTCAGATGATGGAAGCTTCACACTTGTGAGCAATAGGAAGATGCGGCGTACCCTTGATGCCATGAATCGAGGCCACGTTGACAATGGAACCGCCGTCCGCTATGTTTCTGAGTTCCGCCCTGAGACAGTACATGCAGCCTGTCAAGTTGACAGCAATGATCTTGTGCCACTCGTCATCTTCAAGGTCCGCGACGGCTCGAATGCCATGGTGTTTGCCAATGACGCCGGCTACGTTTGCGGCGCCGTCCAATCGCCCGAATTGCTTTACTATGCCATCTATCCAGGTTTCGACCTCACTCTTCACGGACACATCGACTCTTGTTACCGAGAAGGGTGTCTTTTGCTCCGTGAAGTACGCCTCGGCTTGCTCAAGGGCTTCGGGGTCGATGTCTGCAAGGCACACAGTGGCACCCCGCTTCGCAATGATCTTAGCCGTTGCAAGGCCAATACCGCTGGCCCCTCCAGTGAAGGCGTACACTTTTCCGTCGAGCGATGCCATTTTTTTTTTCAGCAGTACCGTATCGTATATGAGAACTATTGCAGGCGAAGACTATCTGCGGAGTTTGAGAAAATTCACGAGCACACGTCGAGAAATAAGCTCTCAAGTGTAGAGCAGCGCAAGGTGTCCCGCGTTTCCGACGCAGATCCGCGTCCAATCATGTCTTGTCAACCAAGCTAGATCGTCTATGTTCGCATAAAGTTGACCCGGCCCGACGCAGGTGAGAGTTTTGGGCAACACCCCATAACAAGATGAATGACGGCCAGCAGTGGAAGGCCGAGCCTATGAGATGCCCAACGACTAATACCACATCGGGCTAAGAGGAGAATAATCATGAGAGGCGAGCTATTACAATGTAATCACACTTGCTCTCTCGATTTCATGCGGATGCCATCCCCGTGCTTGGTAGCGTAGTGTATACACGTGGTGGCGGTAGAGGGAGGAGGGGGGGGTTGTCGTTTAATGTCATCAACTTTGTTTGCTCAGAAGCTTCCATCCAAACTTCGCCTGACGTCGGAAAACGTGCAAACATAAGATGGTGTTGGAGATTATCTTAACATATACTTCGAGAAGGTTTACGAAAACCAGGTGACAGAGCTGGGAAGGAAGGTGCTACACTACACATGACTACCTGCCTGCACCGAGTGGTGGTAGTTGGTTGATGAATGGGCACAGGTGGTGTACCTATGGATACTCCGTACCTTCTTCAAACCTTCGAAGTTGAGAGCTCTTAACCCCGCACAAAGCAACCCCGCCGTCTCCGCAAAACAGGGGCTCGTGGCGCGGCACTTGACGTTTGATTGGAGCCGGTCGAGTCGCAAACGCAGCGCTCATTGGTTGTCCCCAACTCTGAGCGGATTACGATGGGGCCCGAATAACCTGTGTGCGATGCGCCGATGCAGCCTTGCAAGCACCTGACCCGCTCTCCTGACGTACATTCGGCCCTCTCCTGGAACCGCACTGCTGATCGGGTGCTTTACGTGTGACCCCCAGCGTCACCTTCAGCTACGACCCCAGATTTCTCCAACTGTTCCCGTGTCGGCTTGGAGTTCCTAGACGTAACCCAAGTCCCGGTACCTCTCGTGGTCGGCTGTGAGCCACACAGCTGTCAGCCGGTGCTTGGAGCTACTTGTAAAACAAAGCCGAGGAAGAAGACGATGTCGTTTCTTGCTTGAGTCGTTCTCTTCCTAACCTCTCCTTAACCTGACCTGTTCCCCCTGTGTATCAAAAACCGACGCCATTCTCACTCTTTGCGAAGTTCCCAGCCTGCGTCGCTAGGAGGCGCAACCTTTCCTGCAACCTTTCCTGCATACTTCACTTTGGCACTCCTGTTGCCTTCCTTAATTGCGGCCTCTTCTAGTGCTTGATCCCGCCAAGAATCCGTCTGTTCTCGGAGCTGGTTCTCGGGAAGCTCACTCCATCATGCGTTTATCCTCGCTTCTGGTCGTTGCCGCGACGGCCGGCGCTTCCACATTGACTCCTCCTGTCCTTCCTCTAATTGTCCGCAACCCGTACCTGAGCACCTGGCTCGGCAATGCTCGCGATGCGCCGTGGGAACATTGGCCCTACTTCTGGACCGGCTCCAGCGTAAGCTCTCCTGACTTGCCGTCCTCTCCAGGCGCGCGGTCCAGCTAACCAGACATGATCCCATCAGGTCGGATTCTCGGTGATGGCCTCAGTGCCCGACTCAAGCACCGTTTACCCTTTGCTGGGACGGCCCCAGGATTCCTTGCCCCCATCTTCCAAGTGGGTTTGGCCGCTTCCCATCTCTGTGATTGTAGATTGACATGCCATTAGATACTACAATGTGTCTGTCCCGTCCTACTTGGGCGCAACCTTTGACGCCTCGACGACGAACTTGACCTACTCGATCCCCCCTCCTCCCGGATCTTCCGCGCCAGTCAAGGTTGTGCTCTCCTTCCTCTCGCCCATTACGCCCACCTCGACCTTCCGACAATCGATCCCTGCTGCGTATCTGACTGTCCACGCCGAAGGGTCTTTCGACATCAACATCTACACCGATGTCAATGGCGAATGGGTCAGCGGCAACAGGGACAACAGCATAGTCTGGGAGCTGAGCAAGGCGAAGGCCTCACACAAGCAGAGCGCCGCTGCTCTCAAGACCTGGCAAGTCGGCAGACAGTACCCGCAACTGCTCACCGAGTTCGCCGACCACGCGGAATGGGGTACTCTGCACTTCACCGGCCCGGCCGACGTCTACCACCAGGCCGGTACGTCCGCGAAGCTCCGCCAGCAGTTTGCGACCAAGGGCTCCCTGACCAACGAAGTCGATACATCGTACAGGAAGATCATGGACGAGGAGCCGGTCTTTGCCTTCTCCAAGACCTTCAACCTGAGCAGCAAGACAGGCAGCGAGTCGACCTCTGAGGATAGCGTACTATTCACATTTGCTCTTGTCCAGGACCCCGTCGTCCAGTTCGCCGCTGCAAGAGGACTGACGCAGATGCGCCCGCTGTGGTCCTTTTACTTTGCCACCCCGGCCGAGCTGATTCAATACCACTACGATGATTTCTCGGCGGCTAGCCTGCTGGCAGGGAACTACTCGAATCAGCTCGCCATCGATGCGTTCGCTTCCGGGTCATCAGATTATCAGAACATTGCCGCCCTGTCAGCTCGTCAGGTCCTCGGCGCAACGCAGTTCTCTGGAACCCCCGATGACCCTATCCTCTTCCTCAAGGAGATCTCCTCTAATGGAAACTTCCAGACCGTTGATGTGATCTTCCCCGCGTTCCCATTCTTCCTGTACACGAACCCTCGTTGGCTGGCATACCTGTTGGAGCCTCTGCTGGAGCATCAGCTCAGCGGACAATATCCGAATGATTATAGTATGCATGATTTGGGTGCCCATTTCCCGAATGCGACTGGACACCCCGACGGAAACGATGAATACATGCCTGTCGAGGAGTGTGGGAACATGCTCATCATGGCACTGGCACTTGTAAACGCCTTCAAGTACGACACGCAGCCAGCGTTCCTCCAAACTGTGGATGGACACGCGCACTCCCATGTATCTTTCGAGGCAGAGACCAGCAGTGCTCGGCCATGGGCGCTTTCCATGGACTCCTTCGGCATAGACCATCGTTCTGAGGTTGCTGCTATGAGGGGCTCAAAGGAGGCCGAGAAATGGGCATCCAGATCCTACGAGCTGTGGACAAAGTGGACAGGATATCTCGTTCGCGAATCACTGATTCCGGCCAACCAACTCTGCACGGATGACTTTGCTGGATGGCTTTCGAACCAGACGAACTTGGCTCTCAAGGGTATCATTGGTATCAAGGCGATGGCCGAGATCTCTAACCTTCTTGGCAAGACGGACGATTCAAAGTACTACTCGGACATTGCGGCCGACTACATTGACCAGTGGCAAGGCTTTGGGATCTCCAGGGACGGCACCCATGCCAAGCTGGCGTATACCTGGTACGGTTCCTGGACGACAATCTACAACCTATTTGCAGACTCGCTGCTCTGCTTCCACTTGCCTGAGGAGAAGAAGTCGACCCTCGGCGGACGAGTCACGCAGTGGTTCCAGAAGGCCATTGGCGTCGAGAAGCAATCGACGTTTGTCCCGGACAAGGTGTACAGCATGCAGAGCAACTGGTACCATGCTGTATTGCAACACTACGGGCTCCCGCTCGACAGTCGCCACCTCTACACCAAGAGTGACTGGCAGTTCTTTGCCGCTGCGGTGTCGAGCAAGAAGACTCGGATGGAGATTCTCCAGAGCGTTGCAACATGGGTCAACGAGACCACAACTGGTAAGTCGGGGGCTGAACCCGCCACTTTTTCATACCCTGGGCGGTACATTTTTTACTGACTCTGATGTGACAACAGACCGACCATTCACCGATCTCTACGAAACGGAAGGCACTGGTGGCTGGCCCGGCCCTCACTTCATGGCTAGGCCGGTCGTGGGAGGTCACTTCGCTTTTTTAGCACTGGAGAGAGCTTGCGGGGGCAAGGCCGTCGAGGGGTTGAGCTTCTTGGACGAGCCTGCGTCGTTTGCGGAGGTGAATGTCGGGAAGGCGCTGGAGGCTGAGATGGTGAGCGGAGGTGTGCTGGGCGCAGAGCAACAGGTGATCATGGAGGATCTGTAAGGCGTGGGCTTTCTGGCATGAATGTTATGGATGCCATTTGCCACATGTTAACTTTGCAGCTATCAAGACTGTTCAGTAAGGTGATCATCGTCGTAGTATGCTGATTAGGACTGAGCGCATCTACCCAAAGCCCGAGTATTCGAAATCTTGAAACATGCTCCATCATCGCAGCCTAGATGATAACATTTGCGAATAGACGACGGGCGCTGCATTGCGCCGGTCAGGGAATTGGCTTGTCGTTGTTATTTGATTCAGGATGTTCGAGGGTCTCTAAACCTTCCTTCCCATGGTGTGGCAATGGCAACTGCCCCTTTGTCGACGAAGGATATTGTTCATTGGCGCGTATCCCTGTTTTTAAGACTTTTGACACTGCGTACTCCAATTAGGCGGCAGACCTGCAGTGTAGCGAGGCAGTTTGGTAGAGAGCCCGGGAGACGAGTGTTAACTTCCTCGGCCAAATATAGCTTCTCGATGGGTGGATGAATGAACATACCAGACAATGGGCCCGGAAAATCTGAATGTGATAAAGTAACATGCATGTCAATATCCAATTCAAGAAATGCCCATTGTGCATGGGTTCGGTATTGTCATCGCTCGCGCAGGAAGTCTCATTGGATTGAGGAAAAAAAAAAGGTCCTCGCATTGGCCAACTGGCGACAGGGAGATGTAACAGTACCTTAACCCACGTACTGCAGTCAACTGGCTGTGTCTTTTCCCTTGCTGCTTGTGCTCACCCACGGTCCAGCAAGTGCCTGTCACCGAACACCCACAATTCCTGCCTCAGCACAGGCACTGGCAGGTAGTCAATCTATCAATCAATCAATCAACTCACGGAATCGATTCGCGGATGGTAAAGGTGCGTGCCTTGTAGGTATCCCACCACCCGTCACCACCCACCATCCTGGTGCCCAGCAGTAGGCATTGGGTGTTGTTTCCTTCTGGCCCATTCCTTCGTTCGCCCTGCGTTTTCACCAACACCAAAGACAGGGCCGAACCTTTGAGAGTACCGTTCATAGGTTGCATAAAGTAGGTAGCCTGCTGCAAAAGCTGCATTTTGTCCGCCTTGCTGATGTTCCAGTCTTGAATTCGCCCAGAAAGCTGACCATTCAGGTGCTGCATCAACCCTGCGCCTTCCCCTTCCGTCACAAGCTAGGTAAGGTAGGTACATTCACCGGACCTGGGGTGTACCTGCCGCTGCTGCTGTGAATAGTGGTATTGCGGTCTCAAAGTAGGTACCGTTAGGTAAGACAGGCGATGCTTAGTGCCTTGACTACCTAGCTGCAAAGACAGGCAAGGCAGGCGCGCCCATACACCCGACACACGCACACCACACACCACACACACCTCACCCATTGACCCCGTGGACTGTCTTTCTCTCCCTCTCTACCTCTCTCTGCACCTCGACCACAAACGTCCCTTCCTTCACCTCACTTTCTTCACCTTTCCCTCCCTCCCACAATCGGCATCTCAAAGCCTCGTCGCTTCCTCAATTGATGCCCTTCGTCGTCTAATTGATACATCGACGATTGTAACAAAAAAGAATTTCTATCTTCCTCCAGTCTCTTTTTTTCTTCCACGTACGAGTCCCTTTCCTTATTTCCCCAAGGTTCCCCTTCTCGTTGGGTCCGATCCGCTTCGCATCCTCCCTTCTGACCAATCGCCGCAACAGAAGAGTCTGCGTCACCGGCTTTCGCGTCGTTGGCCAATTCTACCCACAACCAACCTCAAACACTGTCAACGAACAACAACTCGTTCGTTCACTAGATCATTATGGCTTCCACCGCTATGGATTACGAGGCCGCCAACGGCGACCGCTACGATGGTTCGTTTTTTCTCGATACAGACCGCCCCCCCAAGCACAACGAGGCGCTGACAGACAAACGCGACACAGACGAGGCTCCTCGTTACGAGCGCGACAACCGCAGCGCCTCCCCTCGCCCTGCGCGTGATGACGGAGACTCTGGACGTCGTCGCTCTGCTTCGCCCTCTGGCAACGGTGATCGCGACCGCGACCGGTAAGCAAACACAAAATTTTGTTGATTTCCCTTTTAGCTAGACAATGTTGGATTGGCTGACACGTACTGTTTTTCTTCCACAGTGGCGCCAAGGACGAGACTGGCTCCCGAGGTGGCGACCGTGACGATGACGGCGCTATCAACCCTGGCTCCAACCTCTTCGTCACTGGCATTCACCCCCGCTTGACCGAACAGGAGGTCACTCGCATGTTCGAGAAGTACGGTGATGTCGAGAAGTGCCAGATCATGCGCGACCCCCACACCAAGGAGTCCCGTGGCTTTGGCTTCGTCAAGATGGTCACTTCTGACCAGGCCGACGCCGCCAAGGAGGGCCTGCAGGGAGAGCAGATTGAGGGACGAACCCTGAGCATCGAGAAGGCTCGTCGTGCTCGCCCTCGCACTCCCACTCCTGGCAAATACTTCGGCCCCCCCAAGCGTGGTAAGCATTTATTCTGTCAACAAACTTTCAGGAGAATTCACTAATGCGATGTTCGACAGAGGGTGGTGGTGGCGGAGGTGGCCGTGGAGGCCGTTTCAACGACCGCTACGACGACCGTCGCCGTGGAGGTTACGGCGGTGGCGGCTATGGAGGTGGTGGCTACGGAGGTGGCCGCGATGACCCCTACCGCTACCGCGGATACGAGCGCCGTGGAGGCTACGAAGACCGCGGCGGTGGCGGTGGCTACGACCGTGGCTACCGTGAGGATCGTGGCTACGACCGTAGCTACCGTGAGGATCGGGGCGGCGCTGGTGGCTCCGGCGGCTACGAGAGACGCGAGCGTGGTGGTGATGACTCTTACAGCAGCAGTGGTCGTGTCGACCGCTACGGCGGCGGCGGTGGCGGACGTGAGGACCGTGGCGACCGCTATGCTCGCGGTGGCGATGACCGCCGCGGCGGTGGTGCTGCCGGCTACGAGAGACGCGAGCGCGGTGGTGATGACACCTACAGCAGCAGCCGTGACCGTCCTCCCCGCGATGCTCCTGCCGGAGGTGCGGCTTACGCCGACGCCCCCGCCCGCTCCGAGGGTCGTGAGGCCTATGGAGGTTGGAAATCCTAACCCCATTGATTTCGCTGTGGTCTCGATGCTAACGTGTCTAGGCTCTCGCTAATTTCCTTACGCTCTCTTACGGAGTCGTCAATACGCCCGGTTCGATGGCGACTGACGGATCATCCCTTTCCTCTTTCCTAGTTCGATCGATTACGGCGGATATCCCAAAATTTGCGTCTCATGAAGTTCTTGTGCACTACAACTAGTATGGGATGGATCACAAAATGGGAATTTTTCGGCCTGCGTGGTTCACGGCTTCTTAACCTCGGTTTCTCGGTAACAATGGCTGTAGTCGAGTACCAGCTGCCTTTTGTTGGGGTGCTGTTTCTCAACCCGGTCTCTGCAGTCGACGAATGTTTGGCGGTCTCTATGGTAGCTATGGCAAACAATCAACACGGCAAAAAACGGCAGGCATCGACAGGCTTTGGCCAGAGTGACAGTCACTTCCCCCTCGTGGATCAGCACTTTCGTTACACCACATCGTGGGCCTGCGGCGGTCCACGGTTGTTTCTACGCACCACTTTCCACCTTGTACCATTATCTATCGCGTCCCACATCGGGGTCGAGTCGAGTTTGAGACGGCTTCGCAAATCCGACATGGCTCTTTCGAAGCAATTTTCAGCATGATAAGATGTTGACCAGCAATGCAACATGAATGACAACCGCGTCCCTTAATACAACTAAAACGTAACTGTGCCGCCTGAACGCCACTATACAAATTCAACCCTCACATCGTAAATGAAACGCCTCTTTTCCCGCCATCCACACCCTCTATTGTTCATTTCATCGTCATGCCAGCACAAATCAGTGGCACGGGATTCAACGAAGTCGTGGCCCTTGCTTCGCCGCGTCATTCTGATCACCCACCTCCAGCGCTTCTTGGCCGTGTTTAGAGCGTCACAGGATCTACGTGATACACAAAGCACAAAATTTGTTTCAAAGGTATCTCCCCCCAAATGCACTGAACCAAACTGACCCTTTAGCAAAGACATCGCTTTTATAGTGAATGGTCTTTCCGCTTGGAATGTGGATGCCTGACATAGCCTTGGCGTCCATCTCCGACCTTTGCTTCGCCACTCACTCTACTTCCTTTTTCTTCGCCAGCTTTTCCGACTTTACGCGGGCGAGCCTAAGTTCCAACGCTCAGTGCAGCCGACCTGTCAGGCCTACCCCATCTAGTTGTCTGCTGTTCTGCTGTCTCAGTCACGGCGCGGGATTTGCCTTTCGCGTGTTGGTTTGAAAATATTTCCTACCGTTCCCACACGGCTTCTTGCAGTGCTTTCCCTACTACGGCAAAGAAGTCGCTCAAAGGCATCGTAGCTCAACTCTTGGTGAGGCCTGCTGTATTTGACAGCCTATGGCCAACAGAGACCAGAGGCATGTGCCATTTGCGTCAAAATAGCGTTCAATGTCGGACGAAAGAGGCACAAGCATAGTTTGCTCGGACCAGGCCAATCGTTTGCAGCTCATCATCTCTTCATCAATCTGTCACGGCCTCATAGGTTGGCCAACCTTCCATGCTCTACCCTTTTTCCCTTTGGGCCCTTTGGGAAGAAATATTACTCCACAATTTGTACCCAAATGATAATTAACAGCACGAACCACAAATGCAGTATCATAGCTTAGTACACAATATTCACACGAAATCATTGAGAAGATCATGACAGTCCATCGCATTGCATCATTTGTCTGAAAATTTGGGAATCATTCATCATTTAGTCGTGACTACTTCTGCCAGTATATATGATCCTCAACTTGGGAACTTGACCTCAGTCGTTTCTTGGTGCCTGTGACTGATTAGGTGCAGGCGCAGGCGCACCAATAAGCCAACCAACGCCCGACGTCAATGTGCCCATCGCCGCCTCGCGTAACTGATCGCGCTTCCTCGCCCTGGGGTGGTCATCATGCCCATCCCATTCGCCGTCAGGCGCCGTGCCTGATGGACCCGGCGCAGGAGCCGCAGCGGCGGCAGCAGCGGCGCCACCACCGGCAGACTGCTGTAGCGTCGAGAGCGCCGTAAAGTTGCGCGTCGCCGCGCGAGCTGTTGCGCGCGAGAGATCGAACAGCGACATGGGGGCGTCATCTCCGGCCTTGCTCGCAAACGCGGCCGAGGAGCGGGCCTGCCGTTCGCCTGACGACCGGTGAGATCGCACCGCCGCGGGGGCTGCGTCAAAGCCGCCAGGCATACTAGAGTGCTCGGCAGCGCCCAGGTCCTCTTCGCGCGCAGCGTCCTCTTTGATAGCCGAGTCGAGCTGCTCCTCGCAGCGGCGGAATGTTTTGAGAATTTCCTGTAGCTGCGAGGGAGGCGCGATCCTCAGGGCCGTCGCGAGGCAGTCGATGCGCTGTTCTAGGTGCCTGATGTCGGGATTCCCGCTGGCGTTGCCCAGGTGTGTCGGGCGTACTGTTCGGGCACTCCTGATGTACTGCCCGGCCTGCAGAGCAGCCCTCCAGGACCAATCATCGTCGATCTTTACCTTGGAGCCTGTTGATGCATCCACCCCGCCACTGAGCCGGTTGACGATGTATGAGTATGCCGTCTCAAAGTCATCTTCTTTCAAGGCTGCTTCGATACACATGGCTGTGATGCGTTGTGTCGCAGCACCAATTTGCTGCCCATTCTCTTCGGCTTGAGCTGTAGCTGCGGCGACCTTGTTGTTGCGGTCCACGAGTCCGGCGCGAACCATGTTGGTGCCTACGTCCAAGAGGTCGTGGATGCGAGTGTAGCTCTTCGAGTTCTGCTCTAGAACCTTGCCGATGATGGATACAGGATCTGAGTGGACACGCAAGACGATGGGACTGAATGGTTCGCCTTGCCTCAGGACCAGCCGGTATTCGCTGAGGGCATGTGTTGCTTTCAGCAAAGAGTCGATACGGCGCCGCTCAGGGAGGGACTTATGTATTATCTGAGGGAAGGCATTGATACTGGGGAATCATTAGCGAGAGTCCGTCGTAATATGGGTTTTCCTACGTACATCTCGTCACACTTCTTGAGCCCGCCCCTCGCGCGACTCGGGTTTGACGCATTGTCGTACGCATTGAGCGCAGCAGCGACGATGGTCTCCTGCACTATTTGTGGCGACAGCGGCTTGTCGGTGGCGTCCTCGTATAAGGATCTTGCGAGCGGATACCCTGGCCATGGTTAGCAAAGCAGAGTGATGGGTTGTGTATGGTACACATACGGGCACTGGACAGGAGTGCCCTCAAAATCTCGGTCTCGATGACTTCCGGCTTGACTTTAGCGAATATTCCCACCACCTTGCCCTCTGGCGTGGGTGCAATGCCCCAGTTTCGGAGCCACAGAACTTCCTTCCGTGCCTTGACCCAATACGTTTCGTCGTTCTTGGGAGCCTTCTCGGCTAATGTATGTATCAGCTGAATCACCTCGGCCTTCTGGTCTCGTTCATCTTGAATGAACGCCAAGTCTCCGGCTCTCTTGATAGTGCAGGGTAGTCCAGATTGCGTCAGTATGAATGCGCTGAGGATCAGGCCATGGAGAAGGTGTGTAGACTTTCTCGACGGCTTGGTGAGAGGGTTCGAATCCTTGAGCAGATCGTCTCGCATAAAGGCAGTGTTCTTGTGGTTCAAGATCCCATCGCCTTCCAGATACGCAACAGCAGATAATGTATCTGCGCCCTCACGAAGTGACATCATATCATCATGGCCCAGCAGGTCCATGACCTTCCTCAACATTTGGTGGGCTCCTTCGAGCGCTTCTATGCTGGCCTCCGGTACCAGGTAAGCGCACGCCATGATTGCTCGTGCATAGCGGCGATCGAGATGCTGTTGTTGCTGCTCGCTGAGCCATACAACATCGTGCTCTCCCAGATCTACGTCTACAGCACCTCCCCATTGCTCAACGGCAGCAACAGCCACTCTCCAGGAGCTCGAGCTCTTGGAAAGAAGCCATTCAAGGAAACGTTCCCATCCCGCACTGTAGACTCCCTCGTCAGTCGATTCCGTCTCGTCTAAGCGTTTCCACCGGGCGTCGTCATGCAACCAAGGCACAAGCATGCCTCTGAGATCTCTCCCGATCAAAGTATAATCCTCCGGCTGCGCGCCCGTCTGAGACAAAAGAGCATCAACGGCGGCACCATCTGGGAGACTCTGGAACTCGGCCAACGTGTAGGGCACGCTTTCCGTCGGGTAGTATTCGTAATTCCTCCTTAGCAGTGGCAACAAGGTTGAGACCATCCAGACCCGGATACCTGGAGCATATTGTATAAAAGGGCCGAGTAATTCGGGAAGCTGGTTGAGCAGGCCAGCCTCTTCGTCGACACGGTGGGCTCGGTGGAGAAGGAATAAAGCCAATGGATCGTCGTCGGTTTCAACAGTAATATCCTTCCTGGCTAGCGGCAGCAAGTGGAGTTTGCGAACCTTTTTCGCAGCATCTTCGTCCGACAAGTTCTCGACGATGGAGTAGTCGATGTTCTCAGCTTCGCGGTCGATGAATTCGCCAGTCGAAAGCTCCTCTAAAAAGGAAAGATAATTGCTAGAACTGACTGTCTCGGGAAGATAGGTCAAGAGAACGCGCAGGACGAGATCCTTGCGCAGGACGGTGGCATGTCGAGAGGCGAGAAAGGCCAGGCTTTCAATATCGGCGTGAATGGCTAAGTGGACAGCCAAAAGCACAAGCTTCGGCGGGGACAGGACGAGGCTCATTCTGCGAGGATTTGAGGCATGTCCAGTCTATAGTGTCGTCGGGAACTTTCACTGTGAGCTGACCACGAAGCGCTGGACTCAGTTGGTCAGAGAAGCTATCGCGAACCGATGTCGGTAAATCGGGGCGTTGAACAAGTCGACAGGTGCAAGCGCAAGTGCAAGTGGGCACAGGCACGGGCATCAAGGTCCAACTCCCCGAAGCGTGTTCAGTCGGGGACTTGGGGTGCATACACTTAGCTTTCGTCATAAGGTAAAGGTACCTTACCTCAGGTGCTGAGTGGAGTTAGTGCCAGGTGCTCCGATTGGCAAGCGGGTCGATTCAGAGAGGAATAGACGCGCGCTAGCCCCGAGAACTCGCGGTCCCGGCGGAAGTGCTATTGGAATCAGGTACCTCCTGATAGGACAATATTTGCCAGACAGCCGCGGACTCTTCCATTGGCACAACCACCTTCCAGACTTTCGACTTCGCGATTGCGTCTCCACGACAGTACCCGACGACTTGAAGCTTCAACAACCCACCAATCGGCGCTTGTATATCCACAATGGCCTCTGGATACGGACTTCACGGAGGTAATTACCCATTCCCGTTGCCATTGATGCCATACTGATCCTGTGACGCTGGCTAGGCCCATCGCGGTGCTTCCCCTACTGGCAGGAGCTTCTCGGCTGCTACGTCGTCAACACCAACGGCGAGGACCACTCGGAGAAGAAGAAGTGCGGATTGGCTCTGGAGGACTACTACGAGTGCTTGCACCACAAGAAGGAGGTCTGTCAGGCCCCTCGGCCCCTCAATCCCTTGAACCCTCAACCCCGGCAATCCCACCAGTGGAGGATCGATCACTAACCAGTGGCACAAACACATGCAGGCTGCGAGAACGAGGGCGCTCCAGGCTGCCTACCGAAAGGCCGAGTCGGCCAGTGCACGAGACAACGCACCGAGCGCGGGGCAAATACGCAACCTGGGACTACTCGGCAAGGAAGAGGACACGAAGGTTGTAACGGGGTCGAGTTGAGCGAGATAAAGCTGAAGCCGGGCTCGAGAGGGGCGAAACAATATGTACATGGCGCGAACCGAACAGGTAGCTTCTGAAAGCACCAAATGATCAACACCAGTTTTCTTTTCAGTGCATGGAGACGGATTACTTGCGTGCTGTACGGTGATCTAGGGGGTACCAGCTCCAACTGAGACGAGGCACATCTTCTGCATCAGAAGATTGAGATGCGTTAAGGAGTCACCCAGCATATGGATGGTTGTGGTGGCGGTGTTGATGTACTGTTACTAATCTCAAGTCAGTGGGGCTTCCCATACGCCATCTGAGAAGACTGTGGAGGTAAACGAAGGGGAAGCAAGTGCCAACGTCCCTAAGGCCAGGTACCTTAGTGAGCTGAGCCTCATTGGCGAAATTCGAGAGTAATGGCGGCAGGAGCAAGGTAGTCATGTATACGTGCCAAGGGAAGGTGCAGTCTGCAATTCACCAGAAGCCGCACCTGCCCCAAAGAAAGACCGAAGCAGACGACGGTTGACACTCAGTACAGAATTTCGATACGCTTCACTCCTACCTCGCCGTCCATTATATTCCCAAAACACCAACCAGGTTAGATTCCTGCTTTCTCCACATCCCCTCGACTATCCTCACAGCTGCCAGTCATCACCGTTCCCTTCCTTCACTTGAAGTGTTTTTGTGCAAGCCTCACGGGTTCCATGGGAGACCTCGTCGAACTCGTTCGCCCGGGAATCACCAGTCGCCAGCCACACAGACACAATGCCTAGCTTCAGGGGCATCGACGTCTCAATCGTGCCCGGTCCCAACATTGAGGGGTTGCCCGAGCTCCCTCACCCCGAGTCCTCCTCTGTCCGACTTCGGGGTCCTCATACAGCAAGCCCGATGTCGTCCACAGCTTCCAGCTTCACTTCGACGCCGGAGAAGTGTAGACCGACAACATCCGTCTACATTCCCTCGTCCCCAGGTTTGTCACTGGCCTTGCTTGCTTCCTCTGCACATTACAGAATTGATGTAGGCAACACAGGATCTCAATTCCACTTGAGATACTCAATCAATAAGCCTCCTACGGATAGCAAATTCCTGTACTTCAGAATGACCATGAATGGCCGTCAGGTAGTCTCTTGGGGTACCAAGTCGCAAGCCACCCAGAGCCAGATCGTCAGTCATGCTCTGTACGAGCCCGACACCAAGTGGCATTATCGAGAGTGTGGCGTCACTTATAAGCGTGAAGGCGTTGAGAAACGTTTCTTTCACTTCATACCGCGCTCGGAAACCTCCGCTGCCATGGATGGCGGCCTTATCGACCTTCAAATTTTCCGATCCTACGCGCGAAGGAGTAGGGCGCCTCAACTTGAACACTTTCGCGGTCAAGATCAGTATGGCATCACGTAAGAACTCTTCTCATCCTCCACCTAAACACTTTGACTAAGTTTATCCATGACATAGATCACCAACCGGCGGCCTCGTGGAGTCACCTCAAGATCTCACATTCTACGACTGGGTTCTCGTCGACCCTGTTGACTCTCCGTTCGCCACATTCCGCTTCTTCTATCGCACTTAGGAAAACTTGAAGGCGCTAAATCTGGTCTCAGAGGCGCATTATGAGGAACTGATGGCCTCAAATGCACAGAGTGGACAGCTGCCCAACAGACCAAAGACACCAAATCACAACGAGACTGAAAACTTTACTCGAACCCGTCCGAGACCACTTGGCCTCGAATCTCTTGATGGGCTAGTCTTTCAGGACAGTAACACAAATCGGAACAGTATGAGAGAGAGGCAGAACTCGGCTGCCGAGATAGACATCTACCTTGAAACACCACCCAAGCTCGCTCCTCCGGCCCTGAATCCAACTAGGATGCCCCAACCCAGCAAGCTGGCACGAGAGAATCGAAAGGTGTCAGACCCTTTTCGACCTCTGCTAATGCTTCCTGATTTCGAGCCTTCCATCTGCAGGCAGTCATTAGAATCAACGAGGGCACCTTCAGTCACGCCATCGCTCTTACCGTACATTGACGAGTCAAGTGGTGGTGACGAGTTCGAACTTGGGGTTGCCAGACAGGTAATGCTGCCTTCTCTATCTCAAGAGCTCCCTAAGACGAATGCTCGCCGTCCTCTCCCATCTCCTCCCCGAGCACTTCCAGCGTCTTCATCCGACTACGACATGACGCCTCCTTCTACGGGTGGCTCGGAGGTACTCAATAGGGTTGGGAGGCAAGAGTATATTGCCGCAGCGCGTTCGAACGTCATGAGGCTGAGAGGTTCATCAATCGGTAGTCTGAACTTCTCGGGGCATTCTGGACGCGATCCCCGGGGCGTCGGTTCTGACCCTGGCATGACGTCAACCGTCGTTAACTCTGACAACATGAGCCTCTCGGAAGGTGAATGGCTCAAGCGGACTCCATCGCCTTTGCGTCGCAGACATGGCAGATTGAATCTCAACAAGTAGAGTGTCTGAGAGAGGGACGAAGGCCAATGAGGCTCCCGGGCTCAAGAAGATGGTTTCGGGTTATCTGAAGGACTTTTTTGATCGTATGAGCGAGTTTGCTGGAAGAAACGGAGCACTTCAGTGATTATTTCACTGATCATGTACAGAAGTACTGGAAGCTACTGGTCAAACAAAACAGGAGACTCGCGTAAATAGTTTCAGCAGATGAAAATGCAAAGCTTTGCTGAACGAGGAGAGAAAATTGGAAATGATCAATCATCAGTATACTCGAGAAGGCAAGTTACTACTCAGAGGCAAGCTCTGAGGATCGCTGTAATAGTGATGTTGCCTATGTTTATAGAGTTCAGCGGCTTCATCACGCTGTCTAAAGGATGGTTATAAATATATACATATATTGCACAGTCTTGCCCTAGCTACAGTCCATCTGCCTCAAAGTACACCTTCCGAAATACGTAGCCACCAACGCATAAGTGTGTAGATAGGGTTAATTGGGTTGTATATCCGTAGAATCTTGCTCCTGGGTTTGGTAGATCTTGGCGAGACTGGCCGAGTTGGAGGCTCTTGCGACGACATTACTGGTTCAAGTTAACGAATTTGGCTCTAAGCCCCCTACAAGAATTACAAGCTCGTTCAGAAACTGCAGACAACCGTTAGCGTCACTTCTCCCTCTGTTTATGTATGACTCCAGGATCCTCAATGATCAGCTTATTTGCACTGGTGATTTCTTGCTCATTCACAACATTCGTGCTAGAGTTTCCGATTTTACACACCACAAGTAGAGCCTGAACACTCCTCAGAGCTATGTCTGATCATTCAGGCCCGAGGAGCGAATCGATCTCGTAAGGTGTAGACAACCCCCGAGGGCTCTACATCACCACCACTTCTCGCACAGAACCCGCTCAGGCCTTAGATTTAATCCGCTCTTCGACGTGAGACTCTCGACCAACTCATCAGTCATGGACGGGATCCCGCAGACATACACGAGCACATCACCGCGTTCCGCTTCGGGCCCCAGGGCTTCCGCCACGTCCTCCAGGCCCATACGGCGCCTTTTGAACGGGACGTCCATCTCGTTACAATGTAGAACTGACTCATCGGACGCGGTGCCGGGACCGAGGCCGGTTAGGAACAACCTCATCTGACCGCGGACCTTTTCCCGGCCGAAAATAGCAGCCAGCCGCTCCATGAAGAGGATCTCTTCGGAATCGAGGAGGCTTCTCTCGCCCTCGCCCTCTTCTAGCGGCGACGATGACGACGGCGCCTTTGTCGAGTACATGAACTGCACGTCGTACGGGCAGCTGCTCTCCCCTTCAACCCCTTCAGCCAGGTGGCTCACGATGCTCATCAGTGGATTTACGCCGACGCCGCCCGCGATGAAGGCGATTCGCCGCAGGGAGGCCAAGTCGGTGATCCCGGGGGCCGGCCAGACAAAAGACCCGCCGATGCGGACCTGGATCTCTGGTTTCCTCTCTCCTCGGGAGGGGCCCTCGTTCTCATTCTCGTCGTCGTCGACGGGTTGGCCCCAGAGCCAAGCGGCGGCCGGATTCGTCGGCGACTTTTGTACCGCAAGCTCGAGGTACGCAGATCTCGGCCGGACGGCCTTGGACGGCGGGCTGGTGAGGGTGAAGCCGCCTGCCTTGGGCACGCCGGGGACGTAGGTGTCGAGCCATTGGCCTGGGAGGAACTATTTTCCCGTAACGAGTGAGTCATATCTGATCAAGAAGCTGGCAATGTGAGGCCAGGTCACCCGGGAGCCATGGCCAGAGGAGGGGAAAGTTTCGCGGCATGTAAGTCGCGTTTGTAAACCTCATCCACAACAAACGGCAAGCAAATGTGGATGCCGAACGTACCTCAATCCTCGACCCCTCTTTTACCCCAAGCCGAAAGAGACGGATGTTTTCGTTTACGGCATTGACTCTGACAAGTGTGACGCTGTGCAATGTCTGTCTTTTTTCATGAGTACATATGTATTGCTACAATATAACAGCTTGGGGTGGGCGGCTTCCTACAGAATCCCGGGGTTGAGCCGCCGTGCGCTCGATATGTGACGTTGACGTTTCACCCGGCTCCTTGCCCATATTTTGGAAATTAGAGGTGTAAGCGCGAATTTGAGGAGGGCGGACGAGTAAACGACTGAATCTGATGGCGAGGGAGCTTGTACGCGGTTGATACATCTGTTTTTTTGGATTGCTGTTGGCTCCGCTATCAGAGGTAGGTTGACGGATTGGATGCTTGCACCGAGGTCGGAGAGCTCGGTGAAGTGTGCACATGTCATTGTCCCGCACTTGGCCAAGAACTACAACGCAACGACAACCACGCATAGGTAGAAATTACTACGTCGACACCAGAGCTACATGGGTCATCACGGATTGAATCCTGCAAGAACCAAATGGTTTCAACGACGGTGTGCTTTTAATTGCGCCCAATCTTTCATCCTCGCAGATCTTTCTATTTTTCAAATACGCTTGCCTTGTTATCGTAAGTGTACAAGCCCAAGCAATGTTCAAGTCCACGCCACCGCCCGAAGAGACATGTGCCAAATCAGGACGGCTCGGTCCAGTTCACCTGGTCCATCACTTCTCCGGCAGACGAATGCCCGTACCCGATCCTCAGACGTAATCGTAGTGGCTGCGAGAAAGTTAGCAATGTGACGAAAAAGTACAAGATCAAAGAAGGGGGAGAAACGTACTCCCTTGGCTCCAGACACAATCATTCTCTGGGTGGCTTCAGCACCAGGGCCGACATCCGTGCTCGAAATGGCCATGAGCTGCAGCTTCTGCGTCTTGGGAACAGCTGCTTGCAATCCCACGTTCGACAAAGGACCAGGGCCTGAGTTTCTGAAGCGACCGATAACCTGGACAAGGCCCTCTGCATTGCGCTGGATCTGGAAGCTGACGTTGAGACCGTTGTTGTCGTAGACAGGAAGGCCTGCGGGTGCCTGCGGTGCGGCCTGCGCCTGGGGCGGAGGGGTTGACACGGCGGACATGGACGACATCAGGTCCATGTTCGAGCCACCCATGACTGGTGCAGGGGAGCCCACTGGCTGGGCAGGACCTTGGGAGAAGAGGTCCATAATAGAGGCTGCCTGGGATTGTTGCGGGCCAGGCGAGGTCGATGTAGGGGGCGATGAGGTACCTCCCAGAATGTCGGCGAGAAGGTCAGTGTTGGAGGCGCCACCGGCGGCAGGTGTTGTTGTCGGAGGGGTGTCCATAAGATCGAATAGGAGATCCTGTTCGGTCGGCTTGACGACCCTCGATTTCCTGTTGGCGGCCTTGGCCTTCTTTGTGGTGGTTGCCGCGCCCAGTACGCGAGATTCCTCCTTGATTTGAGGAGGCGGCATCTTCTCAAGGACACCAGAGCGAATCTGGTCGTACGAGAACAGGTTGGTGTACTCAACAGCTCTTTGTTGAACCTCGACATCCAGACTTGTCTGGTGGACTTCAAGCAACCGGCGAATGCGATCGAGTTGCGCGGGATCCGACAATCTCGTCGTTAGCTTCACGAGAGCCGTAACGATGTACTCGGTTGAAACTTGGGTCGCATGGTTGCTGTTGAGGATGGTTGTGAACAAGTCGATGAGTTCGTGCTGCTTAACCTCCCGAACCAATTCTTCCTCTTCATATTGCCCACCTCTCAACAAGGCGTCACCGTACTCGCCGATACACCACGCTCCGGCTTGTGTCAGACTCTCCTGCGTAATATCCTTCTTCAAGTTAATGTAAAGCTTCTGAACGGCATAGGTCTGCAGTTCAGGGGTAGTAGCCACCAGTCGGATAAATGATGACATGATGGGCTCCTTAACATAATTGCCGGCGAGCGTCAACACTCGCAACATTGTGTCGACGTGCCAACGCTTGTTCGGTGCAAATTTGTCGGCAGCAATGCCTATTTGACTGGTCATAGTGGGCTTGAACTCATTGTCGGCGACCTCCAAGAATGCAAGCAATTCCCGAATGAGAACCCGCACGTTGCTCTCGTTGATAAGTGTAAAACTGAGTTCGAGCGCTCGTCTCCTGATGCTGATATCCGGGTCTCTTAAGCACTCCAAAATGGTGTTGCGGTGTCTCTGGACAGCGTTTGGCTCGATGGCGACCACCTTAATAAGAGTGTTGAGCGCAACATAGCGGATGTTGTTGTCGCGGTTGGACAGGAACTTGCCCAGAATGTTAACACCGAGTACGCGAAGACCAGAATCCGCCTCAATATCGAGGATCGTGAGGACGGCCTCATACAAGATTGAGTTTCCGACGTTCTTGGAAGAGTCTGTGTTCGTCGCAACCTGTGCTAGAATATCGTTGATCTGCTCACTGACATGTGCGTCGCCCGTAGCCAAGGCCCTCAGGAAGCGGAGGATCTTGACTTGCACGAACGGATCGCTGATACCTGTGACGTCATGCTCGGGGGCATACCCAGAGGTTGCGAGAGCCTTCAGTGTCTTGACCAGGTTCGGTACAAAGATCTTGAACTTCTCGACAATGTCCTCATCGCCGTCCGCATCTTCCTCTTCGTCGGCCTCACAGAAGCTGGTCGCCAGGGTCAGGCCGCACAGCTGGACGCCGTGGTTTCGGTCGGCCAATAGGTTGCTGACCTTGTCGACAAAGTGCTCTTTCAAGTCTGGGACCTTGCGACATATTCGCATGGCACAGAGGGCCGCCTTCCTTCGAATATACGGGTTCGATGTGTTGACGCAGGCCTCGACTTGCTGGAACAGGTCTCGCGACATCTCAATGGAGGCGATATTACCCAGGGTACAAAGGGCCAGACCGACGACATACTGGTTCGAGTGGGCGAGATCGCTATTCCATATCAGCTATGGTGTCAATGGCCAAAGTGCGATGTCGGTCCTTACTTCTGCAGCGAGTTTGTCACGAGCGTCAAGACCTCCTGGTTTTCGTCAAGCAGCAAACTAGTAGCGAGGTGGCCGAGTCGCTTGTCGGCAAATCGTGGAGAGGCCAGCAGCTTCAGACATTCAATCTGACCAAAATGTGTTCTCTCGCCGAGGGTGAAGAGGTATAGGAGCTTGGCGACATTGTTCCGCCTAGTGATTAAACGTCAGCCCCGACCCGTAGTGGGATTCTTCTTGGGGTCACAATCCATTGCGCACCTCACGCTGTGGTCGCCGCTCTCTTCTCTGAAGCTTGCTCGGATGGAGGCGCTCTCTTTCTGAATAACGGCTCGTTCGTCGGCGATGGTCTTGGCGGCGCGAACGTTGCGGATGAATTGCTTCACTGGAGTGTCACCTAGGTCAGCTCCAGGCCACGGTCACAGGTACAGAGGGGCTTCATCATACAAGAACTCATGTTGGGCAACCGGGGGGATGGGCCCGCGGAGGGCCTTGAACAGGCAGCTGGGACCTGGAGGAGAGGATTGCACGGAGGGGGTTGCAAGCTCGTCGAGAGCTCTCGAAAGGGCGAGTCGCGATTGTCGAGGAGGTCTTTGGAGGGTCGTGTTCCGGTAGACTTGCTAAGGACCGACGAATAGACCAGATAGACGGGGCCAAGGATGTCAGGCCCGGCGGGTTGAGCGACATGCATCCGTGGCCTGGCATTGGAGGTGCACCGTGCAGCGCCGTCACAGGTGTGGGGCCGCCGTGTGGACTTGGCCCTACATTTCAGGCGCAAACTAATTATCTGGTACTTCCCTTCAAAGGCCATCGACCTTTAATAGGGGGCTTTAGGGGTCCTTCAGCGAGTCGTGTAGTACAGCCTGTGCATAATGTAGTAAGGTATGGAAGGAAGGTAGCTGGCATCCATGTCCTAATGGAAGGTATTTGGTTTTACGCCTAGGCTTACTTCACCACCTAGATAACGCCTCACGTTCTTGACTCTTGTAGGACCTGAAGAGCTCCCGACCGGGTCTTTCTCATGCTGCATCCAATTCACATTTTGCTTGGCCGAAAAGCGTAGGACTGACTTGAAATCCGAATGTCGGTTTTCTCGAAGCAGGGACTTCCATTGACAAGGCACCGTGCAGCTTGTTGTCAACCTCACGTGCATGATACCGACATAATCCAGACCAACCAAGCAGCCTGATAGTTACGAGAACCGGTTGCAGTCCTAGGGTTGCTTCAATAACTGGTACACATACTTGAACTATTTAGAGGGGCGGATCGGGGCGGTGCCTGCAGCCCTGCCAAGCTAGATTGCTCTGGCGGCCTAGCTCTCTGGGCCAGATTATTCCAGGCCATGGATTAATGTGAATGTGATCAGCCATCCATCTCCATGACTCCGGACTTTAACGAACAAGCGGACACAGTTCCACTGTTGCACGCAGCCATTGTCAGCTTGGGTGCATCAGTCTAAGTTGTCAACTCAGTGAGTGGTCATCATAATCATCAGCGTCTTATTTCAGCATGTGATGTGCGTCGTAGAGAAGCCTTGACAACATACACGTGCCTTGCACCAGATCACAAATAACGTCAAGCTTCGCAGTTACAATTGATGAAATCGCCGGGTTGATTGACTTTTGCATTCGCCGCCCTGGAGGAGTCCCCCTTCTAAGCGTAACTCCCGTATCATTCAAAATAAGTCTTGTGTCTGTGTCGGTGTAGGTGTAGGAGAGTGTGTTCGTTAAATAAGCATCGTGATAGAACGGGAATGAAACAGGCAAGCGTGCTGGCAGCGAGACGAATGCACAGAGCCCCCTCAAACGTCCGAATGTCAAACTCGTCCTTTCGCTGGTTATTCTCGTATGCCAACTCCCACGGTCTAAAAGGATACCTTCTGACCAGCCTGACCCTTTGAAACCTGTTCGTGTCGTTCCTCGCAAGAAACAAATGCTGCGCGGCCAATGTCACCGTAGATGGGTTCGAACTACAGCCGCTCGACCAAGTTGACGCCTTACTTCTGCATCATGAGTTGGACGAACTCGTTGTCTGGGGATGCTTGTTAGCAACGGGAGCAACGAGTAGCGGGGGAACGAGAATGTCTTCTTACAGTCAATACGTCCGTCACCGTCCTGGTCAGCCTCGCGAATCATCTCATCGACCTCATCATCGGTGAGCTTCTCGCCGATTGAAGTCATGACGTGGCGAAGCTCGGCGGCGGAGATGAAGCCGTTGTTATCGCGGTCAAAGACCTGTCTCTGGTCAGCACTATCTACATGCGCGTTGCGCCAGCTATTCTCACCTTGAAGGCTTCACGAATCTCCTCCTCGGAGTCGGTGTCCTTCATCTTGCGGGCCATCATGGTGAGGAACTCTGCCAGGTTATTCGTCAGCGAGCCGATTTTGTGTGTATGATTGCCAGTGGTTATCGTGTAGACTTACCAGGGAAGTCGATCGTTCCGTTGTTGTCGGCGTCAACTTCGTTGATCATGTCCTGGAGCTCCGACTCGGAGGGGTTCTGCCCCAGGGAGCGCATGACGGTGCCGAGCTCCTTGGTTGTGATTTGTCCTGTCCGCATCGTTTAGCTCCGTGCCCTGAAATCCGCATGATCAAGTCTCGACGATTTCTCAATGCTGATCTCGTATCGTAGCGGTCGCGAGAGTCGAAATTGTACGGGCGCGGGGTCGAGAGAAAGGGAAAGGGGGGGGGGGGACCAGGTACTAACCATCGCCGTCCTTGTCCTGTATGAATGGGTCAGCTAACATTCAAAAACACCTTTCGAGGAGATGGGAAGACGTCCGGGGCGGATTTGGAGTGACTTACAAAGAGGGAGAAGGCCTCCTTGAACTCGGAAACTTGCTCTTCGGTGAGGGAGTCAGCCTAGATTGAAGGTAGCCGTGTCAGTTCGGCTCGCCGAAAATAGCGTTGGTAGCCCCTCAGTCGCGGGGTTACCTCACGAGAGGTAACATAAAGGCGGGATAGAGGACGGAGCTCGGATTTGGGCAACTGACCATGGCGAATGTTGACGATTGTTTGTTGTGAGAATACGGGACTGGTTCTGGAAGTGGTCTACGTCGAATGGGGCCGTAGGGTATGGTATGGAGTTGGAAGATGTTCACGAAAGTGTTCGCAAGCCTTGGCCAGATTAGATGCTACTGGATGCCTTTGGGGGGTCGAGCTTTTCTGTAGTGTGCAGCTCGTGGGGAGAGATGGGGCAGACGGGGGGAGAACGTCGGGCGATAGGGGGGCCGCGGGCGTCGAAAGGACGAAGCTGACGGGCCGCCTGCTCGGTCTGTGGCTGACAGCCATAGGTTGCCTTAACCGCTGGGCAGCGGGCGTCGTCCAGGGCGGGAGCTTCATCTCTCAGCGTGTCAAGGCACCGCGTCTCCCAGCCTGATGGGCCAATGGTGCCAGGGGTCGCTGTGTACTTGGCGGTGTCACCCAAAGGTACCTTACGGAGTACCTAGAGAAGGCCCCTAAATGAAAGGATGACGGATTGGATGGACGGTCTGGAAGGTGCCAGGTGTCCAGCGTCCCGTCGCACCCACTGGCTGGCCCACTTGTTCCTATTTCCCATCCATTCCATTCTGCACCTGAATTGAGTACAGAGTAGAAGAAAAAGCTGACATAAGCCATCCCGAAGCAGCGGATGCATAAAGAACAACACACCAGTTGACGTCGAGCAGTGCCGCGTCGCCAGCTCAAGGTACCTAAAGGTGCCTTACAGAGTCCCTCTTATTAGAGGCAGGCTGCCTCGACGGTAGGTACGGAGCCATTGTGATTTGGCGCGGCCCACACGCGGCTCAATCCGCAGACGACCGAATAAGACCCGTGGACCTGACGCAATCCGTCCCCATTCCCAAAGGCTCCCATCCTGGCATGCGATACCTGTCCAATTCATCAGCAAGTTAATGCAAGCTTGTCGGCGCGTTTCTACACAGGGCGGAATAATCAACCAACACCACCACCACCACCACGTACTTCACCTCACTTTACTTTTTCATCCTATCACCTCGACTCGTGATCCAAGGGCTTCCCTACGTATCCGTGCTTGTCTTGTGTTGAGGACTCGACCTGGCTATCTCCCAAATCAACCACATATCGCTTTCCGCTAACTAATCAGTGCGACCTGAAGCTGAAAGCCGGCCGGCGCTGGCATCTTTACGGGTATTAGACAGCTAAACCGATTCCGCCCTTGGCATAACTAAATCATCCAATCTGACGTACATATCCTAAAAGACTCCCTCGACCGCACACCATCCACATCGCCGCTACTTTGTGTTCGCCCAACGCCAATGGTGTCCTGTTCCGTAATTGCGATCTCTCGTTCATGACGGCGACCCTGAGCGGCCCGCGCAGCGAGCGACAAAGGACACCAGGCTGAGCAGCGCCATCGCGGCCTACTCTGGCGTCCGCTATGTGGCGAGACCGCACGAATCTGTACGTCTAGTGGCCCTTGTTCACCCTCTCAATACCCGCATCGTCTTCACCTGGGCTGCTGTGCCCGCAGTTAGCTAGGTGGCAACCAAGCTCAATTGTTCCTTTGCTGACAACGCATTCCGACCTACAGCTATATTTCCTATCGGCAGTCGTACGCGCACCACCCGACAAAACGGACAAAATACAGCGGTAGCGCGGCCGGTGGGAATGGTTTCGGCGATGTCTTCCCGGGGAACACCAGCTATGCCAGCGGCAACGACGACACGCGCGGTCTCCTCTCGGCCGGTGCCTTCGAAGACGATGGCGACGCCGTCATAGAGATGGACCTCCTGCCCCCACGCTGGGCCGACATATCCGACGAGATTACCGACCTGCTCGCCGATATAGCTACCAGGAGCCAGGCCCTCGAGCGCCTGCACCAGAAACACGTACTGCCGGGGTTCAACGATGAGGATGCGAAAAAGGCCGAGGAGCGGGATATTGAGAGGCTCACGCAGCAGATCACAAAGGGGTTCCACGACTGCCATGGTTGTATCCAGCGGGTTGAGCAGATGGTGAGGGACTCGAAGCATTCCGGAACGATTACTAGCGCCGAGGAGACCATGGCGAAGAATATCCAGATATCCCTAGCTTCACGGGTGCAGGAAGCAAGCGCGCTGTTCAGAAAGAAGCAGAGCGCATACTTGAAAAGTCAGTACCGCGGTCTATGGAGGGAGAAAACGATATGCTAACAATGTGTGTAGAACTGCGCGGGATGAGCGGTCTCGGTGCCGGCGGCGTAGGCGTGCCTGGCGAAAGGGGATCAACACCTCAACCCTCCAACTCATACCTCGACCCGTCCATGGTCGAGTCGGACGCCGACAGGTCCTTCTCACAGTCGACGCTCCAAGCGACGCAGCAAAAGCTCCTGCAGTCCAACGACGCGGCCATTATCCAACGCGAGCGCGAAATCGAGGACATTGCGCAGGGCATCATCGAGCTCGCCGACATATTCCGCGACCTGCAGAACATGGTCATTGACCAGGGCACCATGCTGGACAGGATAGACTACAACGTTGAGCGGATGACCACCGACGTCAAGGGGGCCGAGAAAGAGCTCGTCATCGCCGACACGTACCAGAAGAAGACGACCAAGCGCAAGATTATCCTGCTTCTCCTCCTCATCATAGCGGGCATGATCATCCTGTTGGTCATCAAGCCCAAGAAACGCGGAGGCGGCGACGACGAGTGAAGAAATCCGAATGGGCGCTTCAATGAAGAGACGAAGAAGTTGGTGTAAACTAAATGTATGAATTTTCTTATTTTAGAACAATGTCTAGCGATTATGGGATCCATCATCGACCTGCAACGATGATCAAACCCATCCAGCGTCGCTGTGTGTTGGGTATGAGTGTTATTTAATACATGATGTTACAGGAGGGGGCTGCTCTCGCCGCGGCAGCAGTCATCGCCCTCTCCTTTGCCTCCCCCGTGCCTCCATCATGAGGTCTCGTAATTCTGCAACCTCTGGCAAAAGCCTACGCCCAGCCGCCTTGTTGAATAGCTCCCGAATGCTGTTCAGCGGGGGCAATCCCGCTTGCACCCTAGGTGCGCTGTTGGCTTGGCCTAGGTACGTCCGGGCCAAGCGCTTGACGACCTCCTCCTGGACAACAGACGTTCGAAAGGGAATGCCTCGCTCATTCAGTACCGCGAGCAATCGCACACCCCGGGCGAGAGAGAACCCGCCGCTTGCGGCCTGTGTTTTCGAGGGGGTGTCCCCCGCATGATCGAGGCATCGCGACCCGCCGGCCTTGAATCCCCAACGAACAATGGCGGCGTGCAGAGCAGGGTTATCAAAGATTCGGCGCATCGGGTGCTGCTCATGGGTTATGGGCAAGTCTGTCGGAACAAAAATATCTCTAGCAGAGCTCTCCACACCCAGCAGCGGTGTATCCAGAGGATGGACTGGAAGTAGTCCTGCATTGGAGATACAGAGATGCCGGTACGTGTCCAATAAGCCAAGGCTGATGTCCTCCAACACGTCGAAGCGGCCGAATTTGCCAAGTCCGAAGAGTACCTTCTGCCAGTATCGCGAATGTAGAGGCTTCTGTAACAGAGTCAGGCGTGTAAGAAAGGCAATGGCTGTGGAAAACGCCTCCTGATTGACTGTGGTCGTCTTTGGGTTCCACGGTAAGGGGTCGAGAAGACTCGCACAGATGTGCTGTGTCGTTGATGCGTGGACCTCGATGTCCATCGTTCTCATTTCATCCAGCAAAGCCAAAGCTTGTTTGAACCTCCCTTCGTCGACGAAATGGTGCAACAAGATGTTTGACATGGAGTCAACCGAGTCTTCCACCATTGCGGGCTGGACGGACAGCAACAGCCGGTGTGTTTTCCAGTCTCCCTCATCAAAGGCCTTTTCACGTATGCTGGCAAGCATCGCGGGGTCGTCGAAGACGTCTGGGTGTATGTCGGTATGCAGCAGTTCCGCGAGCAGTTCGTCCTCATTGTTCTCGGCAAATCGTTTGAGCACCCATGCATAGGCTGAATGCCCAATGCCAATATTGACTGTCCGTAGCTGTTCGATCCGGGCCAGGACCCCTTTGGCCGTCGGTTCGCGCAAGGCAATTGACTGAAGTGACAGAGGGCCGATGTGGTGCACCCCAAGGGCGTGGACAGCATGAATTGCAAAGTCAAGAGGCACCCAAGAGCTTGCAAACCACCGCGCTCCGAGTTTATCACTGTGCTGTCTTGCTGGAGGCTCACTCTCGTCGCCATGTGTGTCATGAATGGCATCCCATAATGAATCGTCCTGGGCGTCCCAGTAGGCCTTGGAATTCAAGCCAATGACGACCTGTTCCTCCAGTTCGAGGGTAATAGTCGGATAGTAGCGGGCAAGGAACCTCAGATAGGGCTGTGACTCGGTATTCGGCGGGGGTAGATCGTCGTGATGTATGAAGACATAACGCCAACTGGCGCATTGTTGAGAGAGGCCGCTTTCGTAGAGGAGGGGGATGATCTCATTGTACAACCCGCGGTGCATGGCTGTAAGATAAAGAGCTTGCAATATCTGTTGCATGTCGGCTTCGCTTGTCGCCGCGAATTCTCGTAATAAGGCACCGAAGGCCTCCTGTCCGGGGTCGAAGTTCGGCATCAGACGCATGTGCCACTGCAGTGCTCGCCGGTACTGGCCCTTGCGGAGACAGTGCGAGACTGTCGTCAGGTATAACGAAGGCCATTTGGTAGAGTTATCATGAAGAAGACGCTCTGCAAATAACGCAACGTCCTTGAGCTTGTCCTCATCGTGGAGGAAGTTTTCCAGAATGATGCTCCAAAATGATTTTGCTTCTTCGCTCGTCACGTCCCTCCATGACTTGCGCCGTTTCACAGCCTCCCAAACAGCAAGAACACCGTCTCTCCCCTGCTCTTTCTTTGCAGCAATAAGTACGCTGACCCAGAGTGAAGGGTCATTCTCGTTCTCCGGTATTCCGTCGAGTTCAACATTGGATTTAGCGGAAAGCCAGATGTCTCCTCCTGGATCGATGTCGGTGCCGGTACCAGGTTCTCGTTGGATGAGACAACCTCGAATGGCTCGAGGTTGAAGAAGGGCTGGTCTCAATCCAAGAGGCAGACTGTCTGAAGGTTTCAGCGGATTGTCCGTGTGGGTGGTCGTACTGCTCAAGTCGCGAACGTTGACGGCTGGCTGCAGTAAAGTTGGGCTACATCTTGGAAGACTGGATACGCGCGGGTCAAGGCTGGGAGCGCGCGACAAGGAGTCGGAGGTAGTGAAGCTCTTGCGTGAATATCTCGGTAACGCCGGGGCTGTTCGTCGAATCGCGCCGAGTCCTTGATGTGATTGCCGCCGGCTGAGGCATGCTGCTCTATTCAAGTGACAGAGGCATTGCGAGGCCAATTGCATTGCCCCGCTTGAAGAACCAGCAAAGCACAATTGCGTCGAGACGGGGCATTAAGCATAGCAGCCGGCACATTGAACAAAAGCTAAGGTTCGGTGGCGGGCTGCATCGCGAGGCTGAATCGGCAGGAGGATTCTAGCAATGGCAATCTTGGAGGAAATTCAGATTTGGGCCAAAAAGCTCCCCAGGCAAGATCCATCCGTCAACCGAATTGAGCTCAGCGCCATTCGTCGGCCTGTACCTGGAAAGCGGGTCCTGCTGAGTCAGTCGGGGGCCTTTCGGCCCACGCAAGGCATGAGCCCATCTTCCTGATTGCTCCGTCCGTCCTTCAAAGCCGACATACGTGAAAGCCTTTGAAGCTGTAAACCACCACAAATCCGAAGCCAATCGCAATTGAATCGATCAAAATGGGGTACGTGCCTTTTTAGACGACAAGGGACCGGCCGGCGGTCGACGGAGCGCTGTCGCCGTCAATCGCTGTCCACGTCGAAGTCGAGAACAATTATCATACGAGGGCATTTCTGACGTCCTCACAGTATCGTCGACGCGAAGAACAAGGTCCCCGACCTCCAGAAGTTCTACCAGGCCGCCTACAAGGATCACACCCGTGTGTGGAAGATTGTATGTCGAATTGACTCTGCATCTGCGCAATTGGCGCCAGCGCCGACGGACGGATGCTGACACGATAATCGCAGAACCCTCGCTCCCGCTGGTACATGATCCCCTACGTTACCCTTCTGTGGGGATCTCTCGGTGGTATGTTTGCTACTTGCTCGGAATCTCATTAGGACGAAGACTCACATTCAGCAGTCTCCTTCTACGGCATGGGCCGCAAGGTCCTCGGCTACAACACTTACTTCGGCAAGGAATAGACGCTGCTCGCGATGGATACCACCCGGTAGCGAGAGGCTCGGGACCGGACTGTATGATTCGTAGGGCGACCAATAGACCAAATGGACTTCACTAGGCCATTCTTCCTTAGTGACATGTTGACAAACCCGAGAAACGTAATGACGTCGATCGTGGGAGTTCTCTTTTTTGACTATGCCTGTCAAAATAATCAAATGGCCAACCTTTTCCCGCTCCATTCATTAGGCAGAAAAGGTCATCTAGAATACACATGCGCATCGGCACCGCAAGTAACGTCAAAGTCTAGTGCTCGAACATCACCCAATCCTCTTGGAAAGCGACAGCCGCCCCTCTCATTCATCTTTTGTTCGCAGCACCTAGTAGCCGCTGGCTCCAGGTGCCTTCTCATCCTTCTTCAGACTGATGAGGAGCTCGCGGAAGCGCTCCTTACCGGAGCCGGAGGCGCCACCCTTGGAGCCCTTGCCACTGACATCGACCAGCTTCGCGATTCTCTCCCAGCTCGTGCCGCCGGAGACAGTATCCTCACGGCTGGCAAGGAACTTCTCAGCGTCCTTTTGCGTCTGGGCGATACCCTTCTCCTTCTTAGCGTTGTAGTTGTTGTAGAAATCGTCAATATTCTCTCTGGCTTCCTTAATCGTCTCCTCGCGCTGCTGGGCGAATTGCTGTGCCCGCTTCTCGTTCTGCGCATCTCTCTTCTCGCGCCACTCACGGATGACCGCGGGCTCCTCTTCCTCCTCGACGAAGGCGTTGTAGCCAGAGTTGTAGTTTACGCTAGGAGCAGCCGTGATACCAGCGCCGGGAATGTCGCCAGTGACGGCCTGTGTATTCATCTGTTAGACAGTTCGTGGGGCGAAACTGCGGTATGACGAACCTCGTTCTGGGCAAGGTCTGGGAATTGCGACTCGAATGTCGACTCCTCGCTGATGACGTTTCCGCTACCCCCACCTCCAAGGAGATCATCGTCGCCCGCTCCAAAGGCGATGGCATCATCGCCGGTAGCAAACTGATCGGCATCGTCACCAAGGAGCGCCTTCTCGCGGGCAAGAAAATCGTCGGTAGATGGTTCGGCGCCGGTGTCCTTGATGTCGGTTTGGGCTGGGCGCGATCTGTCAGCCTGAGGAAGCACATTTACGCCGAAAGTACCTACCACCCGAATCGAAATCCTCTAGCGAAGGGAATCTGTCGGCCATTTTGATGTCTGGTTTATGGGTTGTTGAAGAATAGGAAAGATGGACAGGTTGTCGACGTGGCTACTGGGGATCAGATGCCAAAGTACCGATCGGGATAGAATTCCGCCTAGAAATAAAGCTGTACAACGTTGTTGTCAATAACGGAGTTTTCTGCCTGGAAGCGCTTGAATGCAATCGCGGCTGTAGGCTTGCAGAATCAAGTTGAGGCGAAGTATGGAATGTAAGGTACCTTTGATATGTGATAGGGACAACAGGAGGCTACCTTGGATGGGATGTCTTGCGGTGCTTGCCGTGTGCAGTGTGTAGTAACAGGTATCCACTTTGAAGCTGTCCCCATCGGTTAGTTGAATGCGCCTCTTTTGAAGTGTCACCCATGTGGTCCGAG